GGGAGACACAGAATTCAAAGCAGGCTCCAGGCTCTGAGCTCTCAGCAGAGCCCAATGAGGGGCCCAAACCCACAAACTGTGAGATCATGACCTAAGCTGAAGTCAGATGCTTAACCAACTGAGCCACACAGGTGCCCCCAAAATAAAATATTTTTTAAAAGTCTATGTATCATAGATAGATGGATTCAAAGCAAATTACAGGCAGTGGACCAGACTGTTAACTACAATTGCATATCTTGCAGGAGAGAAGCTTGCAATGAAAGCAATGCTGGGAAACTATTAGAATTTGGCAGAGTTGGACCAGCTGATGACTATCACTTCTGAAAACACTAGTCTGACGGACGGGGCTCTTATTTTCTTCACAAGATCGTCACTTGATTCCCTACTACATGTCAGGCAACAGGCCAGGTACCAGTTATAACCAAGAATGAGACAAACTTCCTGCCAGTCCTAATCTCAGGTTCTTTAGAGTAAGCCAGGCAGTAAACATGGATAAGTACACTAGATAATCTCATATAGTAAGCTGGCCTGCAGAGGAAAGACAAGGGGAGCAGACACGTTAGAAACTGCAGTCTCAGACGGACAAGAGTGGGTTTGGTGGGTTTGCAGATACAGATTCAAGCTCTTGTAAGGTTCAGCTGGAAGCCCTCCCCTTTGGATCTACGACAGCCTACCTCTTTCAACAAATTCCTTTTGTGGCTTAAATCAGTCTGAGTGTGTTTCTAGGTTTTGCAACCAAGATCGCCATTTCTAAGAATGAAATTACCGGTGGTGGTGACAATGGTAATCGATAACATTTAAGTGCCAGGCACAGTTTTGGAACTTTACAGACATCATCTATTTTAACCCTTACCACTCTGAGACACGAACAATTGTTATCCCCGTTTTACAGATGAGGAAACCGAGGTAAAGCAGATATGGTTAACTAGGCAGTAGAACTGGGTTTTGAGTCTAGACAGTTGGCCTCTGTGGCCTTTACCACTTCACCGTGCTCTCAAAAGTGCTGGGGGATGGACTTGAGGTTATTTCAAATGTGTGACATCCCTTCACACACACACACACACACACACACACACACACACACACACACACACACACGGTCTTGAGCAAAACCCCCAGTCTGAAAACCCAGGCTTCCTCCAACTGAGGACGTGGCAGCAGCTTTATCAACTCACGAGCCAGAGTTCCTTGTAACCATCCTGTGTGTCATAGAAACAGAAGCTCTGATGTATCACTCAGTAAGGAGTTGACCTTGGGCTCTGGGTTGTCATAAGCCTGAGTTAAAATCCTTGCTTTGCCTCATACTATAACCTCAGAACAGTTCATCAACTCTTCTGTGCCTCAGTTTCCCTACCTGTGACACAGATATGAGACTACCTTCCTCATGTGGTTCTGGAAATTGAGTAAGGATGGACTACAATGTTTACCAGCATAATATGAGGCACAGCAGTGGTCGAGGCTCACATATGTGCACGATAAACCCTAAGTATTAGTATTCTGCATCTCCTTCTGTGGGAAATACCTGTTGTTTCTTCATTACCCCTTCTTCTGGAAAAAGCTTCTACTTTTCCTTGGGGATGACTCTTCCTGCATTGGATATAATTCTTGAGGGACTACCTATTCCTGGCTAACAAATGGCAACACAATCACAGTTAGTTCTAACTGCTGGTGTCTAAAAAGACATTCTCTATTTATTTATTTTTTTTACTTTATTTTTATTTATTTTGAAAGAGAAAGAGAGCAAGCAAGGGAGAGACAGAGAAAAAGGGAGACGGAATCCCAAGCAGGCTCCGTGCTGTCAGAGCAGAACCTGATGCGGGGCTCGAACTCACAAACCGTGAGGTCATGACCTGAGCTGAAATCAAGAGTCAGAGGCTTAACCGACTGAGCCACCCAGGCTCCCCAAGACACTCTCTTTTTAGAATCTAAATCTTTTAGAGGCACCTGGGTGGCTCAGTTAGAAGAGCATGCAATTCTTGATCTCCAGGTTGTGAGTTTGAGCCCCACCTTGGGTGTAGAGATTACTTAAAATAAATAAAATTAAAAAAAAAAATCAAAATCTTTAGATGAGTCATCCAGAACTAAAAGAGAAAACACAGTAGGGAAACAAACCACAGCAACAAAAAAACTAGCCGAGATTCAGACATCCCCACTGAAGAACAAGACTGGCCATTAGCTCCTGCTGCCTCGATAACCAGAGCGCCCTTGATTCCTGTCTTTTCCAAGCCCTGATTCTTTGGCTTTCTCATAGATTCCTTGACTCTCCCACGGACTTAAACTCTCCATAAACCCATAGTCTCCAATCAACTTATGTTCGGCAGAGTTGGTTTCTATTACTTGCAACCAAAGAACTTCATCTGATGTATTTTTTGAAGCGAAGACTAGGACTGCGCAAAGCATAACAAACCCTGAATCCCCTTTCCCTACTCTTCCTGGGCAAAAGGCTATCTATTGCTGGGTGACAAATTATCCCTAAAGCAAGTGACTTGAGGCCATAAACGTTTATTAGCTTATAACCTGTGTGTGTCCAAAACTCAGGAGCAACTTTGCTGAGTGGTTCTGGCTCAGGATCTTTCATGGAGGATGGTGTCTGAACACCTGACCGGGGCTTGGAAGACCTGCTTCCCAAGATGACTCACTCACATGGCTGTGGGCAGGAAGTCTCAGTTCCCTGTCCCACGGATGTCTCCAGAGGGCTGCCCGAGTGTCTTTGTGATGTGGAAGTTGGCTTCCCACAAAGCAAGGGATCCGAGAGGATAAGACAGAAGCCACGAGGCATCACAAGTCGGCCCTACTCAATGTGACTTCTAGGATGGTGGAATGACTGGGGAACATTTTGGAGGCTGGCTGCCACACAGGAAAAGCTTAGGAGCCCCAGCAGGGTCTTTTTCAAATTTTTATTTTATTTTATTTTTCCAGTACAGCTTTTATAGGCAGACATGATCCTCCTTTCTCTTTAGCTATTCCTATTCACCCCAATGAAAACACCTATTTCAGGGGCACCTGGCTGGCTCAGTCGGAAGAGCATGTGACTCTTGATCTCGGGGTTGTGGGTTCAAGCCCCATGGTGGGTGCAGAGATTACTTAAATAAAAGTTAAAAAAAAAAAAAAAAAAAGAACATCTTATTTCAGAAACCCGCAGACAATGACTTACAAGAATGGGCAGAAGGAGGAGGTAGGTATGAAGAAAAAGGTGTAAAACAGGGGGGATGAAGGTCTCCAGTCCGAGGACCAGGTCTGGAGAACTAGAAAAGAGGAAGAAAGGGCCTTTAGAGAAGGAGACACAGGCACCCGAATACAAGGACAAAGCAGAGTGTGTAAGACTGGTATAAAGCGTAGTGCTCGCCCTCGGCAGACGGTCACTTCTTTTACAAGTGAGTCACTTCTTTTACAGAGAGTCTGCCATCCAGTTCAGCCCTGCTGGTGTCATTCATCTTTTACTGCTTCACCTACAAGCGGGGCCTGAACACTGCGACCCGTGAGTCCAGGGAGATGCCAAGCTATTAGGGGCTGCACTGCATCCCCTCAACACTCCTATGCCGAAGCCCTAACCCCCAGGACCTCAGAATGTGACTGTGTGTGGAGACAGGACTTCTAAAGAGGTGAGTTAAAATTGGGCCATGAGGGTAGGCTTTAATCCAATCTGACCCGTGTCCTCATAAGAAGAGATCTGAACACCCAGAGAGACACCAAGAGCACACACTGAGGAAAGACCATGTGAGGACACAGAGAGAAGGTGGCCAATGGCAAGCCAAGGAGAGAGGCCTCTGGGAAGCCACATCTGCTGACACCTTGAACTTGGGACTTCCAGACTCCAGAACTGTGAGGAAGTAACTTTCTCTTGTTTAAGCCATTACGGGAGCCTGAGCTGAATATGACACAAGCCCTCGTGAACCAGCTCCTAACCTGTGCTGTGTAATGTGGTGTCAGAACCAAGCACGAGGTGAGAGGAAGCCATAAACGCACTGGGTGCACCCAGAGACCGTTTCCACTCGGGATTCCTTCTGTGAGCTTCCTGATGGACCCCAGGCCCCTTCTGCTTTGCTCTGAAGGCAATTTCCATGCACGTCCAGGTTCCTAGGGCTGCCTCTTCCTCTGTCATATCTTCTCTCTAGCTGGAAAGCGCCTTCTGTATTCGTTCCCGTACTTCCTTCGCTCCCAAGGACACCATCATCTCAGCTACCGGAGGTCCTTGCTAAGAATAAAAAGAGAAACTGCCTTATTGCCTTATACTGCCTAAAGAACTAAAGCCCAGCCCCAGTCTGCAGGCGCGACGCCCCAGGCCAACCCCAGTGCCGCTGCCTGCGTCTGAAGGGGCACAGTTAGCACTGCGTTGTCTTTACTTTCCGTGGCCAAGGATGGGTCCCAGGAGCCTGTTTTCCCGTGGTGATATGTCTATTGGCCCCCCATCAACCGCCAGCTCCATGCAGGCAGGGAGAGTGCATGTTTCATTCACTACTGGGCCCACTGTACCCAGAACGGTGCTTCTGCATAGTAGGTGCTTCCATTCCATAAATACTATCTGCTGAGAGACTGAAGGGAGTGATCGTGTTTCATTTGTCTTTGTACCCCCAAACCAGAGAATGACTGCCATTGAATGTCAGCTGAACGGATAAATGAGGGGCTCCAGGGAACAGTCCAGCCCATCTGCCCACTTACCCGCTGTCCACTGAGGGCCACTCGGAGGACTTGCATCACATTGCTGTGTTTGGTCCCCTCCAGACCTTCTGATACCTTCTTCAGTTCTCCACTCAGCACGTCCTGAGTTAAGCTCATACCGGGTCCTTCTAAAAGCCTAGAAAAGAGGGGCGCCTGGCTGGCTCAGTGGGAAGAGCATGCAACTCTTCATCTAGGGGTTGTGAGTTTGAGCCCCATGTCAGGTGCAGAGATTACTAAAAAAAGGTAAATAAACTTAAATACATAAATAAAAGCCTAGAAAAGAGCCAGTCTATGAGGGCCTGCATGGGCCAGTGGCAAGTAGGTAAGAGGGAGGATTTCTGAAGATTAACATTCACAACCAGTGTTCAAGTCTGCTTGGGGGAGAAGGGAAGGAAGAAGATCCCCATCCCTTTCCAATTTGAGAAAACAAACAAACAAACAAAAAACAACTAAGGAACCAAATACACAGATAATCCAAGCACAATACAGGAAAACGCAGATGGTACCACAGTAAGAGGATTTACTAATTTCTACCTCAAGGTCATGTGATCGCTATGCCTCAGTTTTCTCATCTATAAAGTGGGGATAATAATAGTGTCTAACTCACAGGGCTATGGTGGGGCTGAGTTCAAACTTGTTAGGCACTAAGTACGTTGCTTGAATAGACAGTAAACACTCTGAAACACTAGATCTTGTATTTCATTTAGAAATTAAACATTAGCGGGGTGCCTGGGTGGCTCAGTCAGCTGAGTGTCTGACTTTGGCTCAGGTCATGATCTCACGATTCATGTGTTTGAGCCCCTAATCAGGCTCTGTGCTGACAGCTCGGAGCCTGAAGCCTGCTTTGGATTCTATGTCTCCCTCTCTCTCTGACCCTCCCCCACTCACATTCTGTCTCTCTCTCAAAAAAATCAACAAACGTTAAAAACAATTTTTTTTAAAGACATTAAACATTAGCTAATATTTATTATATCCAAGAGCTCAGAAACATTGCAAGAGAATCTAAAAACAAACTCAGAACAGGTTAGACATAGGATGGAAGAATGAAGCCCTCTGTGAAATTACTTGAAACACAGCTTTAGGATTGGCAAAGGGGAGACTCTTTGGGCAGGGGAGAGGGCTTGTAGCATAGAAGGGCAGAAAGAAAGAGACTTTGGGAGACCCCGGCTCCAGTAACAGTACTGCCACCAACCTGCTACAATCATTCTTTTATCTTAATTTTTTTAAATGTTTCTCTATTTTTGAGAGACAGAGAGAGAGAGAGACAGAGAGAGATTCCGAAACAGGCTCCAGGCTCCAAGCTGTCAGTACAGAGCCCAATGTGGGGCTCCAACTCACAAACCGTGAGATCATGACCTGAGCTGAAGTTGGATGCCTAACCAGTTGAGCCACCCAGGTGCCCCTACAATCATTTTTTAAAAAAAATTTTTAGGGCAACAACCATGATCTTGAACTCCCCACTTGCTTGTATTCTGGGACACGACAAAATTTAGGTCTATCAGATCTGCCACATCCATGCTGGCCTTTATGAACTCCCCAATAAAGTCACAGATGCCACCTTCCCAGATGGGAAAAGAGTGGCCAGGAACAGCACCTTGCACAGCTGCATGAAGAAGTAGGTGACCCCAGCCTGTGTGCACTTCCAGAAGGGCTTGCACTCTGATAGACCACTGCACCCGTAGGTGACAAAGTCAGGGACGTTGGCCAGCATGAAGCAGTTCTCAAAGTGGAACAGGGTTATGGTGCCGACTGCCTGGGCCCACCAGAGCACAGGCTGCTGCATCAGCCACCCTGGCGCCCACCTCTTGCTACAAACATTCTTTGCCCACAAGTTGAAGCATGTAAGGATCTAAAATCCAGTAGGCCAGGGGCACCTGGGTGGCTCAGTCAGTTGAGCGTCCAACTCTAAATTTTGGCTCAGGTCAGCAGATTCTGAGCCTGTGAGGCTTGAGCCCCACGTACTCCAGGTGCTGGCAGAAAGGAGTCTGCTTTGGGATTCTTTTTTTCTTTTCCCCCCTCTCCCACTCCTCAGCCTGTACTCTCTTCTCAAAAACAATAACAAACTTAAAACCTTTAGTTTAAAAGTTAAAGGTGCCAATATTAAAAAAAAGCATAAATGTTTAGAAAATAATAATAAAATCCATAGTCAACACCGCCTGTTTTGTTGCAGCCAGCTTTGAGATCCTCTCTCACCAGTGTGTTTTGAGTTTCAAGAGAGATTCCCAGTCTGGAGCCATCTACAAAAAAATAAGCAACAACAACAAAATAAATAAAAAATTTCTGAGTTGGAGGGGCACCTGGTGGCTCAGTTGGTTGGGGGTCCAACTTTGGCTCAGGTCATGATCTCATGGTTCATGAGCTCGAGCCCCATGTCGGGCTCTGTGCTGACAGCTCAGAGTCTGGAGCCTGCTTTGGATTCTGTGTCTCCCTTTCTTTCTAACCCTCCCCTGCTCTCTCTCTCAAAAATAAATAATAAACATTTAAAAAAATTGTTAATCTCTGAGCTAGAGCAATGGACGGGAGCAGGGTGGGTGGGCCTGTATTTTATAGCACCTTCTCAGTCCCCCTCAGCTATTACAGAAATTCCAAAGTGGAAATGCTGCAGAGGGCCTGGACAGTTCCACTGGTGCGGATGGTCCACAATGCCAACTGGGGTACTGCCCGTGCTCAATGGGGTCCAGACAGTCCCCTGCCACTGATAGGCTTCACATGGAGGGTGACTGGCTGGGGGACCCGTGCTCGTAAGTAATGGGAAGAAACTGCCTCTTGGTACCAACAGATTCCCTTACTAACTCTGGATTCTGAGCCACTGAGTTTCAACAGGAGGCAAAAATAACCATGCTTATTGCATCATTAACTCGGCCACATGCTTATTATTATTCCTATATCCAGAAGATAAAATACAGAAAATATAAAATTTAACACGGAGGGGCCCCTGGCTGGCTCAGTCAGTTGAGCATCTCTTTTTTTTTAATTTTTTTTTTTAACGTTTATTTTATTTTTGAGACAGAGAGAGACAGAGCATGAACGGGGGAGGGTCAGAGAGAGAGGGAGACACAGAATCTGAAACAGGCTCCGGGCTCTGAGCTGTCAGCACAGGGGCCCGATGCGGGGCTCGAACTCACGGACCGCGAGATCATGACCTGAGCCGAAGTCGGTGCTCAACCGACTGAGCCACCCAGGCGCCCCTAGCATCTGACTCTTAATCTCAGCTCAGCTCATGATCTCACAGTTTAAGGGTTTGAGCCCCACTCTGGGCTCCTTGCTGACAGTGCGGAACCTGTTTGGGATTCTCTGTCTCCCTCTCACTCACTCTCTCTCTCTCTCTCTCTCCCTCCCCAATTCATGCTCTTTCTCTCCCAAAATAAATAAATAAACTTAAGAAAAAAAAATTTTAATGTGGAAAATGGGGTGCCTGGCTGGCTTGGTCAGTAGAGCATGCAACCCAATCTCAGGGTCATGAGTTTAAGATCCATGTTGGGCATGAAACCTACTTAAAAAAAAGTTGTTAAAATTTACCATGGGAAAACATAGGAACTCTCCTCTATGCCACTGTGGGGAAGCAGGCTGCTAAGGAGCTGGTAGAAGAGGGACAGGCCACAGGCAATGGCAGCTCAGGACACATTAGAGCTGGCCCAGAGCTTGGCGTGGGTACAGAAGGGACTTCTAAGAAATCTGGCAGCTTCAGAACACCTGGGTGTCAGTTTTCCTGTCCTGAGTGGGAGCCCCAGAGTGTCTCTGAAATCTAACCCCATGGCAGGGATGTGGAGTTAAGGCAATGGTCCTGGTGAATTAGCACTAAGAGCTCTTATTGTGGAATGCCCTAAATTAAAGGAGTATTGTAATAATGACTCTTGGGAATCGATCCTAGAGATATAAATGCAAACCCGATTAATGATGTCTATATGTGGCTATTCACTATAGCATTGTTTGTAATAGCAAAATTTGGAAGCAATCCAAATGTCCATCAATAGGAAATGAGTTAAATAAATTATCATAAAGTGGTACAATAATGGGCTAAGTGTAGCTGCAGAAAATAATGAGGATTCTAAGGACTGGGCAGATCTACAGATATGTTAAGTGAAACAAACAAATCAAAAGACACAGAACACTGTTACCGTATTTTTGTGTAAAAAAGAAGGATCATTTAGATATAATTAAAATGGGTAGTAATGCGCAGACAGTTCTGGAACTGAACAGATGGGGGACAAGGATAAAACTGGATTTCCCAATATCTACCTTTTTTATACTTTCTAGGTTTAAAAATAATTTTTTTTAACGTTTACTTATTTTTGAGACAGAGACAGAGCGTGAGCAGGGGAGGGGCAGAAAGAGGGAGACACAGAATCCAAAGTAGGCTCCAGGCTCTGAGATGTCAGCACAGAGCCCGATGCGGGGCTCGAACTCATGAACTGCAAGTCCTGACCTGAGCTGAAGCCAGATGCTTAACCAACTGAGCCACCCAGGTGCCTCACACTTTCTAGCTTTTAAACTCAGGTTTAAGAGGTCTGAATGGGGGCACTCTCTCTCTCTCTCAAAAATAAATAAACATTAACATAAAAAAAGAGGTTTGAAAGTTTTCATAATCAAAACATCAAATTTCAAATTTTAAAAAGACAAAAATGGAGTTACACATCCATATCACTGAATACTCAGACATTACATAAAGGAAACAGCTAAGTCCGGCTACATTTCTGTTGGGGGCTGCAGTAGGAGGGAACACATACTTTTTGCCATAGACCTTCTTCTACTATTTGTATTATACTGTATTTTTTGCCACATGATTTTCTTATCATTTCCAGGTGTTTATTTATTATGACAATACACTGAGGATTTCTAGATATCAGGCACTGTCCAAGCACTTTGGAGAGAAGCGTATGGCCTCTAGGCCCAACCTTGCCTGGGTTTGAATCCCTGCTCCTCCAACTTACTGTTATTTTAGGCAAGTTACTTAGCCTGTGTCTTGATTTTCTCATCTATAAAATGGGGATAACGTTTTAACCAGATACTTTATTAGGTGGCTGTGAATTTCAGTGTATACACATATCCACACACACCCTGTGTACATACGTATACAGACCTAATGCATATAAATAGCAAGTTGCAGGCATGTGTAAGTAAACTCTTAAGACCTACTTTCATCTTCATGACAAAGCTGGGAGGAGGTAGGTAAAATGGACACTGGGTTTTGCTGCCCAGCATCCACCTCCCTTTCTCCTGATACCCCAAATCTCCTTGAGGAATTACCTGGCTCCCATTCTCAGCTCACGTGCCCTGGCTGGGGGTCCATTTACGGCCCAGGAGCTGATGAGCTAACCTACGCCAACGGGCACATCACATTCCCCAGGCCTCGTGTGACTGGTTCGGAGAGAAAAATGTAGCTAGTTCGTTCCGTCAGAGTTCATCTTAAGACACGGCTGAGGTTTTGTGATGTTGGAGCTGTCTTACAAACAGGGCACAGACATGAGAGAGGCTGCTCTCCTTTTTTTCCTTTCATATATAGTGATAAAATTTTTAGCCAGGCTCATGGCTGCCAAGTTAAAAAAAAAAAAAGTTTTCCAGACTCCCTCGTAGCTTGGCATGGCCATAAGATAGGCATTCTGGCCAGCGAGATACAGGTGGAAATGAATGTGTAACTTTTAAGTCTGTTCCGTAAGGAGGAGTGTCCCATCCCCTTCCCTTTTTCCTCCTTCCTCTTCTGGCTAAAGTATGGATGGTCTATGAGCCACCATGCACCGTGTGGACAAGAGCAGAATCTAGGGACATCAGGACCCTTGAGATATGGAAAAAGCTCTTTAGCCCTGGATCGCCACTTCCTCGTGGGGTAAGCACTGTCATTTCTTCTGTCTGATAGAGAGCCCCACCCTCCATCTACTTGATACAGAGTCTCTGCAGAAAGAGTAGCCGGCATTGAGAAGTGTGGAACAGAAGGTCAAAGAGACAGAGAGAAAAATAAGGTCTTGGTGACATGTTTTTGGCCCCTGAATTAGGCTGGGCTTAAGCCAGCTTTGGTTGCATTTCTGTTCCTGTAGAGTTAGGACTGTAGTAGCATCTCTACGTTAGAGGTGAGGAAATGGAAGCTCAAAGAGGTGCCATAGTGACGCCACCTGGGCAGGAGAAAGGACTGGGTAAGCGGCAACACTGGCAGGGAACCCAGGTGAACCCAACCCCAAACACACTGCCCTCTCTGGGGAGGGTCTGGCTCCTCTGGGAAAGCCCCCCTACCAGAGTGATCATCTTGCTAAGACCCTGTCACTAGCCATGCATTGTGTGGCAGGCCCCGCAGCCAGTCCTGGAGGAAGGGGGCCCTGGGAGGGAGAGGGAACTCGGGGGCAGAGCCTTGAGCTTGGCCTGCAGCAACTCACCCCAGCACACGCTCGGCAATCAAGTCCACCTTCTCCGAGATGGCGCCCAGCTGCGCTCGGCCCACGGCAGGGCGAGTCCACAGGTAGGAATGTGCCGGGGAGACCAAATCCTGCAGGCGGCAAATGTGACCCTAGGGGAAGAGGCAGTCGCTGAAAACAGAGGACAGGGAAGAAGGGGGGCACCACCCATTCCCTCAGTCACCGGAGCTCCCTGACACCACACCTGTCTCAGCAGGATGATCCTCTCCACGTAGGCTGGGTCCAGGACATCCCTGTCTCGCAGCTGGCTGCCGAACGTCTCCTCCACCAGGGCCTGCAGCTTCCCCACCAGCTGGCGTCTCTGGGTCTCACTGCTCACCAACCGACACAAGTGCAGCCTGTAAGAGAAACCAAGGGACCGTGCAGCCACTGGCATTCCCAGTCCCCTCCAAACCCTCTCCCTAAGGGAGCAGACAAGGTTTGAAGAATGACACGTTATATGAGCTGTCCCTCCTACAGCCCAGAAACAGATCATACAGGAAAGGGATCTGGCCAAGGTCTAAGTCAGCCTAAGAGCCCCAAGCAACTCAGGTATCCTGTTGTGTTTCTAAGATAGTAGCTAACATTTTAAACTAGAAAGAGATCACATAAAAACAGAGATTTCTGGCTTCTCTTGGGATATCAGAGAAGATCTGGCTGCAAAGGGCCCTCGTGCCCCACACTTCAATAGCGGGAGCAGAGTGGAGGCCGCCCGGTTTACAGGCACAGAGCACTCCAGTTTGCCAGGGCCTCTGCTCCCCAGTGCCTCTCCCCAGGCTTGCTACCTACCCCCGTGCTGGCTGCTGGCCTCGACAGGCACCTGACTTTACAAGGTACAATCTACAAGTGTCTGCCTCCTTGCATAGCTTAAAGCATGAGACTCCGGCACAAAAAGGCAGAGATCAAGAACATAGATTTATAGGATCTGAAGCTCAGAGTGCACAGCTGTTTGAATCCAGGGCTCATAATCAAGAAGTTCAGGTTTTCTTGTCAATTCCAACGTTCTTCTTTCCAGAATTCTTCTAACTGCCTTGCTCCCTCTCTTCGGGAGCAGCAAAGCTTTAACCAGTCCTCAGTTCCCTCCCTAGGCTGCCCTGGCATGGAAGAAAGGCAGGCGGCAGCGGTGGGGGCGTATCTTCTGGGCTCTGGAACTGGGGCAGGCCTGTGAATCAGGCCGGCCCTGTGAGAGGTCTGCAGCAAGTTACATGATCGTCCAGAGCCTCAGGAGGCTCATGTACACCACAGGGACAACCAGGGGCCTCCGTCACAGGGCACTGTGCAGACTACATGAGGGACTATCTGGAAAGCACAGAGGAAAAGGCAGCTGGAGGCGGGCAGGGGGTCAGGACTGAGGGTTCTGCACATCGGGGGGGGAAGGATGAGACCCTCTGCGAAGCTATCTGGAGCACACGCTACCCAAAAAATAATGATTTTCTTAAAAAGGAGTTAACACCACATACTGAAAGTGTCTCTAGGATCTCCGCAGCAGTGGGAGAAGACCGTAGACAGAAAGCAATCAGGAGACCCTAGTGGCCACGCTTGAGATAATACATGGAAGGTCTAGGGCCTGGGAGACAGGAAGTGCCAAATAAATGTCAATTACCATCACTACTTCCACCATACTTGTGGTGCTGCTCTGATGACTACCGGTGCTACCTTTACTGCTATTACCGAAATAATCACAGCAGCGGCTTGATGCCAGGAACATCTAAACGTTAATGGCTTCGGCTGCGTTCGTGGCAGTCCCAAAACTGCATCTCCTCTTGGGTCCATGCCGAGCAGAGCCCACCTCCATCCTCCTCTGGCTACCCTCATGCTGGAGGACTGGAATGGGTCACAAAGTATTTCCCCGCCGTGCCCCATTTCCTTGAAATACCACTTTTCCTACAATCAGAAAGGTAGGGTTCAAGTTGCATTCACTGGTGAATACCCCATTCAAGGGATGCCTGCCGTTTGCTGCGTGAACGGGCTGGTTATGGAACACTGCCCTATGTGTCGTTTCCTTCTATGCAAAAGAGAGCAAAGTCAGACAACTGATCTGATGTCTGATGGGAGATAAATGAAGTAACAACCCTCAATACCTGCAGTCAATGCGAATTCTCTGGGCTCATGCAAGTAAAGCACAGAGAGCCTGTCCCCAAAGTGCTCAAGAGACGGCATCCTTGAGTCCCTTGTCCCTTAAGTACACATTAATCTGCTGGCTTTACCACCAAGGCCCTTAGATGGATATGTCAACAGTGATCTGAACTGTAACTGGCTTTAGAGGTCTGAGTGAAGAGCTACATGAAATGTAAAACAGGTGTCATGAGACAGTGCTCAGTCACCGTGTTGGTGGGGGGGCGGGCAAGGGGTGATTCCGAGGCGAAGATGCCCCTTTTCTCTAGGCCATGGCTAACAGAATCCATGCAAAGGACGACCAGGAATAATGGTAATGACAGAGACAGTACCTACCATTTACAGAACACTTTTTATGTGCCAGGGGGTGTGTACAACACCTTGATGCAACGTTTAATTTAACTGAACTCCTACAACAATCGTTAACAGGTAAGTACTGTTATTAGCCCCATTTTCGAGAGGAAGAAACAGAGGCTCCAGGAGGTTAGGTGACTTACGTGCTCTGTGTTCACGGAGCATCGGACACATGAGCCCACAGTAAAAATCAGGTCCATGTGACTCCAAAGCCCACTAGACCCTCTGCCATGGGTACCCTCATTAGCAAGAAAGCCTTTTTGTACCAGCGGCCTCCCTGCTTCACCACTCACCTGTTAAATTCCGGGAGCTTCTCCAGGTCCAACAGGGCTGAGTGGCAGGTGACCCGGGTCAGGTCAAACTGTGTTATCAACTCAGGCAGGGTCCTGCCCATCTGGTTCTCTGCAAGGAGGCAGGCCCAGCCTCAGCCCCCTCCCTCGCTTTTCAATCACAAGGGAGGCTAGGTGATCACGTTCTGGGTTTCCCATTCCATTCTGACCCAAGGGATTCAACTTCTAACTCTTTTATAGATCAGGGGCCTTGAAGGAGCTTTCATTTGCAGAAAGGGTTCTGTCACTCAGGAAAAACAAGTTTGAAAACAATCAGACTCGGGGTGCCCGGGTAGCTTAGTCAGTTGAGCGTCCAACTTCGGCTCAGGATATGATCTCACGGTTCATGGGTTCGAGCCCCATGTTGGGCTCTGTGCTGCCAGCTCAGATCCAAAGCCTGCTGTGGATTCTGTGTGTGTGTCTCTCTCTCTCTCTCTGTCCCTCCTCCACTCATGCTAAGTAAATAAACATTCAAAAAATTTTTTTAAAATAATCAGGCTAAACCAATCCTCACTGCCCTCAAAGATGTGGGTTGCAGGAACAGCATGCTCATTGCCTGGCTGTGCCCCAGAGATTCTGACTCTGCTGGTCTGGGATGGCGTCTGAGCATCAGTATTCTTTCCAAGCTTCCCAGGTGGTTCCAAACCTCAGGCAGTGTGGAGAATCGCTGCGCAGGGAGCTGCCTCTCCAGAGCTGCAGCCCCGTCCCATGCGGTCAGCAGGCATCGTGGCCAGGCCTAGGCCTACAGGGAGTCTCTGCCATGTCCCTTACAGGCTGCCTGGCTTTGCCAAGTCATCAAACCTGTCTGAGCCTCACAATTCTCTTATAAACAGCAAGGATAATTTAATCCTCTAAAGACTATTTTAAGGAGTAAATGAGATGAGAGCAGAATAAACAGTAAGCAGACTACCAGTGCCACATTTCTAGAAATCCCCTCCAGAAAGAGGTCATCCTAATTTGCTGCTTCTTTAAACCTTGGGCTCTAAGTCTTGGACCAAGGATAAGGGCCTAGTTTGGAATACACTAGGGTCATAGCAGTCTTAGTAATTCTGTTGGAACCCACACTTGCCATAGTGGGAGTAATGTAATTATAATAACCATAAGATCTACGGTTTTTGTGCAGAGTGGCAGACACCTTACTGGGTGCCTCATACTCATGAGCTCAGTGAATCCTAACTTAACCCCATGAGATAAACACTTATCCCCATTTTATAGAAAGGCAGGGAAGGCTCAAAGACCATAAGCTCCTTACGGGCAAGGGTTACATTTAGCTAGTTCACTGTTGTAGCCCCAGCACTTAACACAGCGTCTGGCTCAATAAACATCTGTTGAGAAAAGAATGAATTTAGGCAAGAGCGTGCAGCTAGTATATGGCACAGCCTGGCCTGACGACCAGGTGGGCCTGAACCAAAGCCCCAGTTCCTCACCACTCTGGTCCCACTGCAAACTCCCAGGTGGGCAGGTACCTGCAAACCCGGAGCCACAGTTGGTGATGATGTCCAGCAAGGCATCTGGCAGGAAGTCGGCAGCAGCAAAATGCTCCAGGAAAATGTCTCCTTGCCTCTTGGACAGCTTGCTGCCATCCCTATTGAGGAGCAGGGGCAGGTGGGCAAAGCGAGGTGGTTGCCAGCCCAGGGCCTGGTACAGAAGTAGATGCTTGGAGGTGGAGACCAGCCACTCGGAGCCCCGCAGCACGTGGCTAATGCCCATGTGGTGGTCGTCCACCACGCATGCCAGGTGGTATGTGGGAAAGCCATCGCTCTTCAGGATGACCGGGTCCCCCTCCACACTAGCTACTTCGTGCCGATTCCAGCCATACACCAGGTCCTGGAAGGCTGGTGCCTCCCCATCCAGGCGGAAGCGGATAGCAGGTTTGGGGCCTGTGGCTAGCTTCTGGGCCACCTGCCCCTGGCTCAGGTTCCGGCACCGATTGTCATACCTGTTAAAGCAGAGCGTCACAGAGATTAGGATGACTACAGACAGACTGAATTCCGTCTTTGTCTCTGATAGTTGGCTGACCTTGGCAAGTCATCTACTTCTCCAGCTCTGTTTCCAGTCCTGAACAGGGAGTGGAGTGACGTATGGGGAAGACAGTAATTGATAACAGTGTGGCAGACACTTGCGCCTGCCTACCTGCCAGCCTCTCCCTCTTCTTCCCTGCTAATGAGGAAATAGCAAAATGCCTAGTCCTGGGGGTTGAATCACAGCTGGTGTGGCCAATCATGCAATCCCATTCCCATTTGCCAGCAACTGGTCCAGGCCAGACCACTCTAGTCCCTAAGACTCAAAGAAAAGTATGCCTGGAGGCAGGGGAGGCTTAGGCTCTGGGGAAAGGTTGCCTCTCCAATTGAGAGCAAAAGAGCCACAAGAGGAAAATTCCTCTGCTTTCCCCCTGTGCCCTTCAGATGTTGTCCTGTGAGGGCAGAATGCCTGCAGCCTCCGCAGCCACTTGCAGCTAGTGTAGGGGGTGGGGCAGGGGAGGTAGGAAGAAGCCACAACAGAGCGCTGATGTCTTGAAGCTGCTGGTTTTATCCTTGAGTCATCCACCTCCAGACTTCTGCAGAGTAAGTGACAAATGTCTGTGTGGTTTATGCCCTGGCTACTCCAAGTATGGTTTGTGGATCCCTAGCAACAGCCTCACCTGGGAGCCGGCCAGAAATGCAGCATCTCGGGCCTCAGCCCAGACCTGGTGAATCTGAATCTGCATGTTAACTAGATCCCCAGGTAAGTCGTCTGCACATTAGAGCATGAGAAGCTCTGATTTGTCCCCCATTCTCTTTTAAATTCTTTATTATTATTATTGTTTTTAAATTTATTTTTGAGAGAAAGAGAGACAGTGAGCAAGCATTTGTGTGCAAGTGCTGGGAAGGGGCAGAAAGAGAAGGGGACAGAGGCTCTGAAGTAGGCTCTGCACTAACAGCAGAGAGCCCAATGCGGGGCTCGAACTCATGAACCGGAGATCATGACCTGAGCTGAAGTCGGGCGCTTAACCAACTGAGCCGCCCAGGCACCCCTATTCTTTATTTTTTTTTAAGTAAACCCTACCATCAATATGGGGCTTGAACTCATGACCCTAAGATCAAGAGTCGCATGCTCCATCTGCTGAGCCAGCTGGACGCCCCTGGTTTGTCCCTTTTATTAATTTTAATTTTATCTATTTATTTTTTTAATTTACATCCAAGTTAGCATGGTTTGTCCCTTTTAAAAGGGGTGTTCCATTACTTACTCCCCGAAGAATCCTGACACAGAAATCTAAAGCTTGAAAATATACTCCTTGACACAGAGCTAAGTGTTCAATTAATAAACGGCTGCATGGATTCCACAATAGAACTTGACTGTAATTTTAAAAAATAACCTTCTACCAATAGACAAGTAGACTATTTATGACAAAAAAGTAAAGCTGCAGTGAATATCATGACCTCATACAAATATCCAGTGCTTGTCCAAACAGTTCATTTAAACTGGAACTCAGTGGGGGGTGCCCATGAGAGCTTGACTCTTGACTTTAAGGATGTGAGTTCAAGCCCCACCTCGGGCATGAAGCCTATCTTAAAAAGGGGCAGGGCACCTGGCTGGCTCAGTCGCAAGAGCATGTGGCTCTTGATCTTGTGGTCATGAGTTTGGGCCCCACGTTGGGTGTAGAGATTCCTTAAATAAACTTAAAAAAACTTTGTTTTAATTTCTTTAAAAAATAAATTAAGTAAGGGGCGCCTGGGTGGCTTGGTCGGTTAAGCATCCGACTTCCGCTCAGGTCATGATCTCACAGTCTGTGAGTTCAAGCCCCGCGTCGGGCTCGGTGCTGACAGCTCAGAGCCTGGAGCCTGTTTCAGATTCTGTGTCTCCCTCTCTCTCTCTGACCCTCCCCTGTTCATGCTCTGTCTCTGTCTCAAAAATAAATAAAACGTTAAAAAAAATATAATAAATAAATAAATAAATAAATAAACAAACAAATAAACTGGAACTCAAGATGTCCTGATGCCACTGCTGATGGGAAGCAAGGTGGTCAAGGGCCACAGGCGGTGTCTATCAAAGCTCCAAACTGGCCCTGCAATTCCTCATCTGGGAGGGTCTCCAACAAACACCCTGCACATGTGCACAACAACATATGTCAACATGATCCATCCCAGCTCCTTATTTATAAATACAGATTAGAAATGGCATCAAGATTCATTAGTAAGAAACTGTTTAACAGATGTTACATCTGTACAGTGGAATACCATGCAAGCATAAGAAAAATGTGTGGGCCTATATAGATTGGATAGCCTCAAAAAAGGTAAGTGGGAACGGTAAGTTGCACAATCCGTATATTGTGTGCTGCCATTGGAATGGGGAAGAGAAACAATACGTGTTCATCAGGGTACATGCGTTGAGTGTCTCTGGAGAAGACAGAAGAAAATTCTAGGGTCACCTGGGTGGCCCAGTCGGTTAAGCATCCGACTTCAGCTCAGGTCATGATCTCACGTTTCATGAGTTCAAACCCCACACTGAGTTCTCTGCTGTAAACTCAGAGCCTGCTTTGGATCCTCTGTCCCCTTCTCTCTCTGCCACTCTCCAGCTCACATGTGCTCTCTCTCTCAAAAATAAATAAATATATGGGGTGCCTGGGTGACTCAGTTGGTGAGTGCTGTGCTGACAGCTGTCAGTGCTGTGCTGACAGCTCAGAGTCTGGAGCCTGCTTTGGATTCTGTGTCTCCCTCTCTCTGCCCCTTCCCTGCTTGTGCTCTGTCTCTCTCAAAAAATGTTAAAAAAAAAAAGAAAGAAAATTCTAACTGCAATGGTTTACAGAAAGGGAAATTGAGGGCCCAGAGTCAGGGTTAGGAGAGATCTTTGCATATATATCTCTCTGCCTCTGAAAAAAAAACTTTACTTACTCAGAATTACAAATAATTGAAGTTACTTTACGTGTTACTACTGCCTGAGAGCCAGTGTGGTCGGCAGCTCTGACATGGCCCCAGTGATGCCCACCTCCGGTGTTTCTGCCCTTGTGTCATCCCCTGCCTGGAGTGTGGGCTGGACCTAACAACTTTCTTTTTGGGAAGAGAATGCGGCACAAGTGACAAGATGTTGCTTCCTCTGTTCAGTTACAAACAGACTGGCTTCTGTCTTGCTCTCTTTTGCTTTCTGTCCACCTTGCCCACAGCGAGGCCAGCTGCTATGCTGTGAGCTGCGCTGTGGACAGGCCCACATGGCAAGGAGCTGGCATCTCCGCACAACAGCCAGTGTAGCCCACGGTCAGCCAGCAGCCTCATGAGAGAAATGGAAACGGACCCTCTGCAAGGCCAGTCTTGAGGAAACCACAAACCTGGCCAAAACCTTGACTGCAGCTTTGAGAGAGACTCTGAGCCAAGGGAGCCAGCAGAGCTGCGCCCAGACTCCTGACCAAAGAGGCCGTGCAGGGACCACAGTTTGGGGGGATTCTGTCATGCAGATGAGGGACACACGCGACTTTGGGGAAGCAGCCTCGACAGGCTGGGGCTCTCACCGGGGCGTCTGGTGATTCCTCAGGGCCTCCTTCTTCAGGAGCTCCAGGCGCTGTGGTGAGCAGAAGCAGGGGTAAGCAGCGCCGGACTCCAGCAACGCTTCCGTGGCCCGGGCGTAGAGCTCAAGTCGCTGGGATTGCTGGTACGGCCCCGCTGGACCTCCCCGGCGGGGGCTCTCGTCTGGGGGGATGCCTGCGGCACAGCAAGAAAGAATGCTCACGAAATTCTAACGATGAAGATGCTGACAGCACCAGTTCGGCACTGTTCTGTGTGCCTTATGCATACAGTAAAGCTTTTAATCCTCACAACAACCCTCAAGGTCGTTACTGTCGCGATTTCCCTTTTATAGGTGACCAGTTGAAAGACAAGAGAGGGTAAGCGCTCAAGGTTGTGAGGCCTGAAAGATAAGGAGTCACAGGGGTGTGTCACCTCCATAGTCCACGCTCTCAACTGCCCTTCCTCTCCATCTGTCCTTTCCCTGGGGAGGGGGAAAGCAGCCCAGGCCCGGAAGAGCTGGCTCCAAAGAACAAAGTATGGTTCAGGGCACAGCCCTGGCTGGACCCCCTGGTTCTGTGCCAGAGAAGCTGTGACAAGGGATCCTGAAGACGGGTGAGGGCCGCAGTGCCAAGCACCTGCCAGGCTGCTCTTATGTCCCATGACTTCCATCAAGCCTCAGAACCACCCTACTAGGTAGACGCCATCGTGACCCCCATTCAGTACGGACGCTGAGGCACAGAGGGGCTCTGTTACATCACTTGACCAACAGCAAGCGGTACAGATGTGTTCGAAGCCAGGCCAGGGGGCCACAGAATCCACGCTTTTCACCCTGATTGTACTGCCTCAGCCTCCTTCCCCGCAAAGCGGAGCTATGCTCTAGCATGCGGGGCGGTGGCAAGAACGAGACACACTGGTACTTTCAAAGCACTCAGCCCGGTGCACACACGCAGAACCACTGTGATGGGTGCCGTTATATGAAATGCGATCTGTTGTAAGCCACAGCTCCAGCCCAAGGTCCAGTTTCCTCCCGTCACAAAGGACAGATTTAACCAATATACACTTTCTGCAGAGACAAAGGGGACACAAAAGAGCCGGATGGTGGTGTTTCTACCCTAAACAGCTTTCAGTAAAAACCACTGATTTGTAGACTTTGAAATGGTGACTTTCGTGTCAGGTAAATTATATGTCAATTACACACAAAAAGGGTGACTCCTAAATTAAGAAGCCACAGAAGTCAGCTCTGCCTCTCCACCACACCGGAGAGGAAGCTGTGCTGAGGGGCTGCAGGCGTCATTTACACAATCGTGCTGCACCAGGGGCTCCAAGGGTAGGACTCTTTCACCCCTGGACCTCCTGTTCAGACAGTGGCTGACATATAGCAGACGCTCAGTGAAATCCAAGTTCTCATCCTGGCCTGCCTGGTACTGCAGGTTCAGTACCGGCCAACTTCTGTCCTCACATCTCCAGTTCCTCTGCTTGGTCACAGTCCTTGGGCCATGCTGGCCTCTTTGCTGCTCCTCTAATACGCCCTATGCTTTCCTTCATCAGGGTCTTCACATCTGCCATTCCCTCTGCTTTTTAAATTAAAAAAAAAAAAAAAAAATTTTTTTTAATCTTTATTTTTGAGAGAGAGAGACAGAGACAGAGAGACAGAGTGCAAGTGGGGAAGGAACAGAGAGAGAAGCAAACACAGAATCCGAAGGAAACACAGAATCTGTCAGCACAGAGCCCAACAAAGGGCTCATACTTAAGAACTGCAAAATCATGACCTGAGCCGAAGTCGGATGCTTAATCAACTGAGCCACCCAGACGCCCTGCTTTTAAATTTTAAGTTTATTTATTTATTTTGAGAAAGACAGACAGCATGAGTGGGGGAAGGGCAGAGAGAGAGAGGGAGAGAGAGAATCTCAAGCAGGCTGCCAGCGCAGAGCCTGATGTGGGGCTTGAACTCATGAAACCGTGAGATCATGACCTGCGCTAAAACCAAGAGTCGGGTGCTGAACCTACTGAGCCACCCAGGTGCCCTGCCTCTGCTTTGAACAGTCTTCGTGCAAGTAGCCACAGGGCTGGCCCCTCACTTTGTGTGATCTCTGCTTTAATGTCCCCTCCTCAGAGAAGACCACCCTGTCTAAAACAGCATCCCTCCCTGTCAGTTCTCTAACCTGTTAACCTTTTCTCCATAGCACACATTAACACTTAACATCATGGTGAAAATGAATTAATTTATCTGTCTTCCAATTACTGACAACAGAGTCTCTGTTCAATGCTGGAACACGACCTAAATTACAATAAGTGATCTCCTTGAATGAATTCCTTTACTCAACTAATCTCAACTAAGCATCTGCCATAATGTTCTACAATAGAAGATAAAAATGAAATCAGTTTCTGGGAACTGATTTGGGAACCCAAAGTCTAGTTAATAATTTACTGCAGATTAAAATACACATCTCATAAAAGTCTCAGTATTTTTGGTATTTTTCCTTGGAGAACTTAACTGGTTATACCTGTCTTGACAGGTAAGCAATTGTTGACCCAGGGAACACAAACACACTCCTCCTTGTCTTCCTGGGGTTTAGCAGTCCTTCAGATTAAACTTCCCATAAGAAGACTGACTTTAGAAGCTGTACGCATTTAGTTTGGCTCACACAGTGTGTTTAAAAAAAAAAAAAATCTGAGTTCAAGTTTAACAATGGCAAGTATTCATTTAAAAAAAAAAAAAAAAAAAAAAAAAAAAAAACAGTAACAAAAACCTGGATTTCTGGCTCCTCTTGTGAGTCAGAAGGTTGGACAAGCTGGGCCAGCATTCCCACATGGGAACAAGGGGCTGGAGCCTTCTGCTCACCACACGCCTCGCCTCTCCAATTCCATCTTATGCTTGGCCTGTGTTTCCTGTCCGTTCCCAGTAGCACCTGACACTCTAAGAACAAGAACCTCAAAACAGCCTCAGAGCATTTCTTTAGCATCTTTTTTGGGGGGGCACGTGCCTCCTGAGGCAGCACAAATATACCCATCTCTCCAGGAACTCCTCATTGTCCAGCTTGGGCCCTGTGAGGCCTACTGGCTCCTTTCCCTGCTCCCACTTCCCCCTTGGAGAAGGGTTTTTTCCCTGACCGCCTCACCTGCCCACTCCAGCATGTCTTCAATATTCTCTGCTGCCCCAGGCACAAGGCGGGTCTGATCCGTGTCTTCCAGCCTGAGGATGAAGCTCCCCTGGTGCTTCTTGGCAAAGATATAGTTGTATAAAGCAGTGCGTAGGCCACCCAGGTGCAAGAAGCCTAGTATAAGAAGAGAACACTCAGTCAAGACAGGGAAGATGAACTGACACACCTCAGCCAGACGCAAGTAAGCCCTGCTTGTACCAGGACATCCCAGTGAATATCGAAGCTCAAGGAACAGCTACCCTGTCCCATCCTTCCAGTCAACACCAAGACAGACTGCCACAGGAGAGGACAGGGGTGGTCAACCTCTTTAGCCCCTCATCCTGGAAACAGAAGACCACACAAGTTTTAGAGCATGTATTTTTGTGGAAAAAAAAAAAAAAAAACTCCAACTCTTCCTAACTGCACCCACTGTTCTACTTAGATTTGCCTCGAGGCCAAGTTTTACCCAAATAAGGACAGAGGATTATCCACTGAAGCCATTACCACACATCCATTTAACATGTACAAATTCAATGATGTGCTTGGGTGAAAAAAAAAAAGCTAATATCTTATCTTCTTTGGTCCAGGCCATGGCTCTGACTCCATAACGAGACTCTCTGCATCTACAGGCTTAGGAGGCAGCATGGGACCCATAAGGCTCTTCTGGCATCAGGCAAACTTCTTCAACACGGATTATGTGTGACCTTCTGCTAGTTATTACAAGGCAACCACAAAACCAGAGGTCCCCAAGACAGAAGACAGGGGTTCAGTAATCTGGATTTAAATTCTCCATCCACCATTTACTAGTTGCTATCCCTTGGGTACTTTACTTCATGTGTATGAGCTTCAATCTCCTCATCTGCTAAGATTTAAAAAAAAGAAAAGAAAAAAGAAACTTTCCTTACAGGGCTGTTGTGACCTAAGCGCTGGTCAAAGTATACCCTTCAATTAATTTTAACTATTAATGACCTATGTTGTTTCATAAATCTGTCTGTAGTCAGTATATTTTATCTGTCTGTAGTCAGCAGCCTTTTCTGTATGGGCTTTTCCTGCAAATCAGAAAAAAAAGGAGAACTATAATCATAATAGAGAATATTGTTTATTAAGTGCTAAGTACCAGACCTTGCTAAGTGCCTCAGTTGCATTAGCTCAAACCCACAAGACAGGAACTATTACTAGCCCTGTTTGGCAGAAGGTAAAACTCAGAAGCTCAGGAAGGTTATACAATTTGCCCATGTCACACAGCTAACAAACGGCAAAGCTGGCAATGTGGACCCAGCCAACCTCAGACCTTGTGGCCCCCAACCACTACATGAGTGCTGTGCTAAGCCAAGTACAGACACTTGCTGGTCTAGAAACTGCTGCCAGTTCATAACCAAGTAAGTACAGAAATTGAGAAAAAATATTTAGAAACAGCAATTTGACAGAGTAATTTTATATTTGGTGAATTCAACAGAAATAGGCTCATATTTTGTATGCTTTCAATATTTGTCCTTTTTAGTAACTCATTTCTGTTGGTTATATAAAAATACTGATCCATAATCAATTAGAAATTAAAAACCAGTCCTGTCACCATGGTCTGAGAGGCCGGCTCTACACTCTGCTGCCTGCCAGGAAAGATCCTGTCACTCTGTGCAGGTGGGATCTTGACACAAAGACTTACATGTGGACCCACAGGTTCTGAATGAGAGGAATGCTCAGTGTGGAGAGGGCAGAAGGAAGCCTCCGTGAGAAAAACAAACCGGGGGGAAATGGTGGGGACACCCTGACAAGCTCTCCACTAGGGCATACAGTGAGCCTCTGCCTAATTCTTTTGGCTTGCTGAGTGCCAACATTAACCACAGGGCCTTTGTACCTGCAATTTCCTCTGCCTAAAGTCCTTCTTATGGACTTCATACAGACTTCACATACATAGACTTCTTGTCTTTTGGTTCTCAATTCAAACGCTACATCCTCAACACGCCCTTCTTGAGCTTCCTATCTAACCCCCAGGCCCCTACTCTGCTTCATTTCTCTTATGGCATCTGTAACGAAAACTACAGTTATTTTTACACGTATTTGTCGCGGCTATAATGTATACTATAGGATAGGCTTCTTGAGAACAAGAGCCAAAAACGTTCCTGGAAACCACGGCATCCCAACGCCTAAAACAATACCTGGCGCACTGTTGGTCCTCAATAAACATTTATTGAATACATGAAAAAGGGACCGAAAGAAATGGTACAGTTCGATAAACACAAAGAACTTCCTGGCAATGTGAATAAATTACGCTTGTGGGCCTACTTCTACGCCTGCAAAATAGGGTCGCGCTGCCCGCCCAGTCTGACTCGACCGGAAGGGATTCGTTCGGGAATATTCGGGGGGCGGACACGGTACGACGGACTTCGACCTACAGCGTCACGTCCGCCCAGGTTACCTGTGGGGCTGGGGGCGAACCGCACCCGCACTGCAGCCCCGGGATCAGTGCCCACGCTGGCCTCGCGCCGTCCTACGGGGCGGCCCAAAGCCGCGGGGGCCCTCGCCGACTGCAGCAGCCTCTTCAGAAGCACCGCCATGTGGGATGGAACCGCACACGTGGGCTTCTCGGTGCATCACTTCCGAGGACCCCTTCCAGCCAATCCGCGTCTGCCACAGAGGGCGCAGCCCCGCCCCTTAAAGGCGCAGGCCTCCTAGCCTGCAAGCCCACGTTCCCCAACGCCGCTCCGGCCCCACTAGGCCTCTAGGGGGCAGAGCCCATCGAGCGAGCGATTTCCCGGACCCGCCCCCCTCGGGTCCTGAAAGCTAAAGCGTGGCAGGGGCCGGGCAGGGGAAGCGGAGGAGGCGGGTCTCCATAGAAACGTCCACCTGTTTCCGGCCAGGCTGTGCGAGATTAGGGGCTGCTGCGGGGGCCAATCTCAGCTAGCTCGTCTTTTCCCGGCGGCCTCTGCGGGAGTGGTGGGTGTTGTACACAATCATCATGGCGGCAGCCGGAGCCCCGGATGGTGAGTGTGGCGGTGGTGGCGGGCCCCCGGGTTGGGCCCAGGTGAAGCGGGCCTCCGGGAGGGATGCGGTCCGGTCCGCTGGGGAGTAGTCTGGCTCGGGAGCGGAGGTCCGGCAGCGCCCGAGGAGGGTTGGGTCCCAGGCCCAGCCTGCGGCGAGCGCCCACCCCCTAACCCCCTTGCAGGCATGGAGGAACCTGGCATGGACACGGAGGCCGAGACGGTGGCGACCGAGACCCCCGCGCGGCCTCTAAACTGCGTGGAGGCCGAAGTCGCGGCGGGGGCGGCGGCGGCCGAGGACTCCTGCGCCGCGCGAGGCAGCTTGCAGCCGGCCCCGGCCCAGCCCCCTGGGGACCCTGCGGCCCAGGCCTCGGTCAGCAACGGCGAGGACGCTGGCGGCGGCGCGGGCCAGGAGCTGGTGGACCTGAAGATCATCTGGAACAAGACTAAGCACGACGTGAAGTTCCCCCTGGATAGCACAGGCTCTGAGCTAAAACAGAAGATTCACTCGATTACAGGTAATCGTCGTGGCACTGTCAGCGACAGCCAGCCTTCCTCACCGCGCCTGCTGATTCCTAGTGCTTGCACTGTGCTAAGCACAGGGCTGGCCACCCTCTTTGCATCTGCTCCGTCAATGCTTAGAATAGTTCTTCGGAGTAAGTACTAATATGCCCATCGTTCAGATGGGGAAAATGAGACCCAAAATCATAGAGCTAGAAAGTGGCTGAGCTGAGATTCAGGCCCAGGCCTGACCCTTAGGCCCCTGCTTCCAATCAGGGTTGCCAGAAACCTCTCTTATGAAAATCATCTGAGGTACATGTTAAATTTACAGCTCCTAGGCCCTTTCCCCTAGAGGGTTTGATTCAGTGTATCTGGAATGTGGCCAGAAATTTATTTTTAGCAAATATCTTGGGTAATTCTCATAAGGGAAATTTAGGAAACGTTGCTGGCCCCTTTGTAGATTCTTACACTATTTAGTTTTCAGTTTTGTCTTGTGTACAGCACCTTGTCAACTGAAATGATTTTTTTTTTTTTTAAGTTTTCTCCACGAAGCCTGTAAGTTCTCTAAAAACTTTATCCTTACTGATTTCTGTACCTTTGAGGCCTGTGGTCTTTCACTTAGTATTTGCGTGTTTAGAGGGTTGAGGAACAACTTGGAACGAATGATAGCTGAACTTAATTGAATAATTACTGAATACCGGGATACTGTATTAAATGTTCTGTTTCATGTCTAAATCCTTAAAACAAGTTTATGCAGAAGGAATTACTGCCATCACAATTATAGAATTTCGGAAACAGACTCAGGTTGTGAGTTGCCTGAGCACACAAGGTGGTGGAGGAGTATTCATTTCCAGGTCTGTTGCCACATGACTCTGGTCCAGGTGCATTTTTCATCCCTTCCTTTGACTTTCTCCTATCTTTTCCCAAGGTCTCCCTCCTGCCATGCAAAAAGTCATGTACAAGGGACTTGTCCCTGAGGATAAGACATTGAGAGAAATAAAAGTGACCAGCGGAGCCAAGATCATGGTGGTTGGCTCCACGATAAATGATGTTTTAGCCGTAAACACACCCAAAGATGCTGCCCAGCAGGACGCAAAGGCTGAAGAGAACAAGAAGGAACCGCTCTGCAGGCAGAAAGTGAGTCTGTCATGTGATTGCTAGTCCTGGGAAGTTTGAGGCTTTGTCCTCTGGAGCGTTGGCTGGTGATATTCTCCCTAGAATAAGCTCCTTTTTGGACAGGGCCCATGATGGAAATTTATGGCAGCAGTTGGGTGCGGCTGGCTGTTGAGTGGAGGTGACAACCACCTGAGATTTGCAACTTTGTCTCATCTGGCGGGTCAGTGTGTCTCAAGTCTACTTGCTTTAGGATAAGGCCTTTGGAAAGGCAGGCTCCAGGTATCGAAAGGAATCAGTTGTGGATTTCCCTTCTCTACTCAGTGCCAGAGAAAAATGCGACTGTTAGAATTAACCCCCCATTTTATACAAGTGCTTACGTTTGTTTTTTCGGTTTGTGGCTTCCCCCAAGTCAACAAGCCATTTCTGGATAGGCACAGACTCGGCAGAGAGAGGTTCCTCTAAAACTGACTTTTTCAGGAAGCCAAATGAAGCTGACTAGGAACATAACCACACCGGCATTGGGTTTTTTTCCCTCCTGGTCCGTGAAATGGGCGCCTGATTTTTTTTACCTTCTCTGTTGCTCGTGTTGGATAGGAGAGATCCAGCCTTGTCTTCTGCTCAGTGTAGCCATTAAAATTCTTTTCGTAATTAGGAAAAGTGAGAGTATTTCACCGTAGAGGGAGTTAGTTGAAAGAACCATCACTTGCAACCTTGCTACCCAGCAAACCCCAGTCGTTGTCCTGGAGCCTCTCAGGCACTCTTAGTAGTGTCCTAGCAAAACAAATAGTCTCAACTTAACCTGTGTTCTGAGTAGAGTAGACTAATCTGAACCAAGATCAGTTTTAGTAATCATATGCACCAAGGCATGTGGCTCATAGCGTGAGAAGATAGTTTTGTGTTACAGATCCCTATTTCTCTATATGTGCTTCCAAAATCTGACCAGGTATCAAAACGTAACCAGAATTACTGTGAATATTCATGTTTTGCTATAGAAATATTCATGTGTTCAGTGACAAGGTGCTGCCCCAGATTCTACAGAGGATAATGTGTAACATATTAAAAAAACTTTTTTTTAATGTTTATTTAATTTTGAGAGAGAGGGAGAGAGAGGGGCAGAGCATGTCTCTTGGGAGGGGCAGAGAGAGCGGGAAACACAGAATTTGAAGCAGGCTCCAGGCTCCAAGCTGTGAGCACAGAGCCCAGCAAACTCAACAAATTGTGAGATTATGACCTGAGCTGAAAGCAAGAGTCAGTCAGACACGTAACCGACTGAGCCACCTAGGTGCCCCATGTGTAACATTTTTAAACTATATTGCTTTTATAAAGTTTACTAGATTTTGGGGCTTCATAAAAATCTAAAACATCTGTCTGTGGAGTTTTAGCTAAGGAATCATAACTCTGTGTTAACACTTAAAAGGTGTTTGCTTGGACGTTTTCACCCCCAAATATGAGATCAAAATGTAACCAATTGAGTTCTTTTCCATTTACCTATCTTCCTCTGCCACATCTATGAAATTGTGAAATGTGAGCACGTCAGAAGTGAGTGTTCCCACTGGTCACACCCCTGGAGCATTACACGCTTCTTAAACATAGGTTTTGAGTTACTAATGGTAGCTTAACAGTCTTAAAACTGTTTTCCTCAATACAGGGAAAGGTTTTCCAAAAGGTGATTGTGAGGTATGAGTCGAATTAAGCTGTTAATCTCTGCTGCTTTGTTTCATTGATGCTAGTTATGAGGACTGACATGGCCTAATGAGAGGGACCCATTCTCCTGGCTCTTTATCAGCTTGTTGAGGAATCTGGGGCTAATACGTGTAGGGACCCTCTGCTAGCAGTCTGGCACTGTTGAATTTATCCCTGCCAGAGGGTTTCTGCCGTGCCAAGGAGGCTTTGAAGTGGCCACCTGGTGCTTCACTTTGGTGGAATTGTTTCCCTTCACCCACTGGCTGCTCGGCTGTTTTTCAGCTTTTCCAAATAGGGAGCAAATAATGACCTAGAAAGCCACAGGTGGAGAGGAAACAAGCTTGGGCATTTGGGCTGGTTAAGAGCTGTTTTAGGGAGCCATGAGCCTAATGAGAACCCTTAGCAAGCTGCCTCAAACCCCCTGGGGGGCAGGGTCAGAGGCTTCTTAATGTCATTCTAGAGAGCGATCAGCATTTCTCTTCGAAATGTGGCTCTCCAGGCTTTCTGTTTAGCTGGGGTTGAGGGTGGGGCAGTGGGGAAGACTTCTGCAGTAGGCTGAGTTTCCATTTGTTGGAGCAATGCCCCTTGTAGGCAGTTAGGCTGGTTACCAGCCTTGTGATCTGTTTCTTTGGGAGGTTAAGTTGACAGAAATGGCTGTCATTTTGTACCTAGCAGAAAACCACCCTTTGCGGTTCTCTTTAGCTTGATGTTTGTTCCTTTCAGTGGCAATTTTTTTGGTCAGAGGAGGGGAGTAGAGTTCATTTGAATTAGCAATCTGGAAACCCTCGTTGCTCCAGAACCCTGATGTGTAATACGGCAGCCGCATAAAATTGATTAAAATTGAGAATTCAGTTCTTTGGTTCTAGCCACATGTCAAGTACTTAATAGCCCCAAATGTCTTGTGGCTGCTGTTTCAGACACTATGGATATAGGAGATTTCTGTCAGTGACATTCTTGCCCCTGCTCTTTAATGTCAAAAGACCCATAACCTGTACATGTTAAAAGCTTTTGAGCCAAAACATCAAGGCTTTCTTTCTCTTTTTCAGAAAGGTAGTAAGTAATATGACTAAAATGGAGTCAGCCGTTTCATTTATTATTTCTTCTGACTTATGTTATAGCAACACAGGAAAGTGTTGGATAAAGGAAAACCTGAAGATGTGATGCCATCTGTTAAGGGTGCCCAGGTAAGCCAGACTCCTTTGTGAGCGTTCTGAAAACGAACCAGACCCGCCTTCTGACTTCCTGAGGTTCCTTTGATCACGTCCTCACATCCTGTCCCTTGTCCTTCTCTGTCATGCCATTTTTCTAGTCCCTATCTCTCACTGTGCTCCTGTGCCTCTAGGAGCGCCTGCCCACGGTACCTTTATCCGGCATGTACAATAAGTCCGGAGGCAAAGTGAGACTCACCTTCAAGCTAGAACAAGACCAGCTGTGGATTGGCACTAAAGGTAGGTTCCTGCTCTTGCCTTCTCCCGGCTCGCCGCTGCGGGCCCTCAGTGGCGCTCGGTCTTGGGTGCGACTGTGCTCCTCCTGAGATTTCTCTCTCTTCACTGTGCTTTGCGTGCCCCTGGCTTTTGTCTTTGCTTTTAGATGCTCACCTTCTGTTTGGACCTTTTTCCCTCATTCTTTTCAGTCTTCTGTCAGGGCCAGTCCTTCAACAGTGGCTCTTCACTTGTGCCCAAAACCAAAGGTCCCAAATGTGTGGCCTGAGGGCCAGGTCTGATCCACAGACCAGGGTTTTTTGGGTTTACACACTTTCTGTAAAAATCAAGAGATTTCACTTGATCTCGTGTGGGGGTTTTTGGGCTTCTCTTGAAAAAAATAAAAAAATTAAAAGATGTAGCTATTCTGGACCTGCATTCTCACATGGCAGCGATCGGCTGGAGCCCAGTGGTAGTTTCAGATGAGCCGCAGTCCTCACTGCCCTGTTTGCCTCCTGTGGAGCCAGCTTTGTTCATGTATGTCACCTGCCTGGCCCCCGGAGGTCAGCGTTTGTCCCCGTACCAGTTGCATTCCTAGTACTGTGGACCTGTCCCCATCCCCCTTACCTGTTTGTGCTCTGCCTGCCTCCACCTACCCCTGCCTGTGCCCGCTGGGGCAGGCTGCTGCTTGCTGTTGGCTGGGAATTGTCTCTGACTATCCTCACCTTGGGTTCCCCCAGATGGTTCAAAGTCGTGTCAGTTATGCTCCAGAATTCTCTGTTTCCCCCCACCCTTTTTTTTTTTTGCCACTCTATTGTGCCAGTTAAGACTCCTAGCATCTTTAAACTTGGTTTGTTAAAGCAAGTTAACCTATTTCCCTGCCCGGTCTGTGTTCTGTTCTGTCCCGCCCATCTCCCTCACTGGCGCTCAAAAACCTTTGGCTCTTTCGGGCCAAGTTCACATGCCTACACATAGTGTCCAGTATTGTCAAATTTTGGATCTAGGCTTCGGCCCTGCTTTCCCTGTTAATACGCTGTGGGTTTCATCTGCATCAGCCTGCACTTTCCACCACGCTCTGCACAGCCCTGCGTATTTGCTCCTGCTGGGCTCTTACCTGGAATGCTTACTTCCCATTCTTTGTTATTAATAACATCTTCTGAGGCCCTACTCAAATGTCCTCTCCTAATGAAGCCTTCCCCGGTGCCTCTCCCACCCTCCACATGAGTTGCTGCCGCTTCTGTTCATAGAGCACTCCGTTTACATCCCCAGAGCACTCATTACTCTCTGACTTGTCTGTCCCCCTGTTAGATTCCTGGAGGGAACCGAACATGCCTAATTCACCTGTTTGTGGCCAGCACTGTAGGTGTTCAGTGTTCGAGGTAAATGCTAAAGAGAAGTCTAGGGGGTTCCATCACGTGAGGTTACCTGGTTTCAGGGACAGGCCATTTAATGTGACTGCTTAACATGGGACCACAGTTTAATGGAAAATAATAATCAGAGGGGCAGTGGGGAGTGAGGTGTGTTCTCCTTCAGAATGTCAAAACATGTTTTCTTGTTTGTAACTGTCTGGTTCTTAAGGCGAACAAAGACCAAAATGCCAAAAACGCTTGAGTTTTCTAACAGTTTTATGATAACTTGCTGTATATTCTTCGTTTCACATTCATCTCTAACTGCATGGTCAAAAGGCAGGTTTTGCAGAATACGTAAGGGCTTCCCTAGTTTTCCCAAGGGTCTCTGGACCCTCTTTAGTAGATCCTTCCCTTCCTGCAAAGCCTGTCACAGCATTGGTTTTCTTTCATTGTGAGCTTCCCTGCCTCTGTCAGATCCTTACTTGTTCACGACTTTGCAGTTGGTTTTGCTTAGTTCTCCACCATTGCGTTGACTTGCCCAAATCCTGCCTCTTCCTCAATTTTCACTTTCTCTTCCGGGCAGTCCGATTGAAGCAGTTGCTAAGTCTGATGCAAAAGGTCCCTGACGGCTAGGAGGACAGGTGCAGGCTGGGGAGGCTGGATGATGACTAAGTCTGCAGGTGCCCGTTGGTGCCTCGGGGAACATTTCCATGTGTGGTGGTTGTGTAGGAAGGCTGTTCTACCTGCGGCCCTAAGCAGAACCCCCTGTACCTGTGCTGGAGGTTTTATATCAGCTTGTAGGAGCAGCTGCTTTCCTGTTTTGGCATGAAGGCAGCACTCTAGAAGAATCTTGGTATGTGGGGGTTTCAGAGCTATCGGAAGCCTCCTTACTCACCAGCCTGATTAAAGGAGCATGGCCAAGACCTCTGTTTTCATGGTTGACCAAGACTGAGGTTTTCACTCTCACCCAGGCTACTGTATTGATATATGTTGGGCAGTGTCCTCACTTGCCCAGGAGTCTTGTCATCTGAGTGTCATAAGCAGCCTCCCAGCAGGACAGCTTGTTCTGGGAGTTGGCTACCAGCCACTGGTTTCATCTTTCCACTGGCGAGGAGCTGCTGTGGAATGACCATCCCGGCAGCTGGTTGGCCTCTTTGTCGATGGAGTTCGTTCCAGAGTGACGCTCAGGGGCTCCTACATGCAGCTTAAACTCTCTCTGGGGTAGCCCGTGTAGCAGGCAGTCCTCCCAGCCTCAGGCCCAGCTGTGGGAAGGACGAGCTTCGGGCAGGAGACGTGGGTGGTCGAAGCCGCCAGGGGGAGCCTGTGCCCTGGCCGTAGGGGGGTCCAGTGGGATCAAGCTCATTGCTGTCACTAGGAATGTGGGCCCAGGATCGACTTTTCAAGAGAAGCCAGAAATTTATCTTTTTGTGTGAAATCTCTGGACATTTCAAGGTGGCTGGCGTTTAAAAGTGTTTCAGTCTTGAAGACAGCTGCTGGTCCGGTCCTGCCCGTGGGTCACTCACTGTTTAGAGCCACTGAAAGTCAAAACCTGAATGGATGTCTTCACGTCCGTTCTCCCCACCCCCCCATTTTTCAGACCCCAAGGCCCACAGAATGGAAATAAAATGTGTCCAATCAACCAGCCAGATTAGAACCCAGGTCTCTAAATTCTAGATCTGTTTCATCAACTCATCTATTTTCAGATTCTGCCTTTTCCAGTTTTTTCTTTCTGCAAAGGCTGTAGTGAGTTTTTTCCAACTTGATTTAACTTTGCTGAGAACCTCCCTGTCCCCCGCTGTGTCTGCTGCTCCTAGGGGGTGGGTTCTTGTGCAGGAACTCCGCCCCTCCTGCCTCCATGCCCCACCCTGCGGCACTTGGCTCACTTCCTGCAGGCTCCTCTCACTCCTGGCATCTCTCACTGCCTCCTCTTTCTTACCTGCCACCCTTAAACTTGCTGCAAAATGTCTCCTGAGCCTCCTGGGATAAGTGATATCTCGAGGGTTAATCATAAGGTGTTGTAAATGTTTCAGGAGAACTTCTTCAGGTGTGTGTATATGGAGGGTTGGGGGGGCTGGGAGAGGGAATGGGGAAGTGGGGAGGGCAAGTGAGGAGGAGAATGGGACAGAAACTAGTGTGAAACCCCCAAGCACTCCTTATCTGTGTGAGCCACAGGGGCATGTTGTTGCCTCTGTTGTTGGTCCTCTTGACTGTCCCTCCCCCAGGTGCCAAAGACCTTAGCCATTGCTGGGCTCGGGCGAGAACATTGCAGTGGAAATCCTTGGGTGTTTATAAATTGCCAGACTTTAAAAATAACACCGGGAAAGCACTGTCTCTGCTCCCAGAGACCTTTAATATGTCATTGCCAGTCCTGTTCCCTGTTTGCTCCCGAGAAGTTTCCAACTGCCAAGCAAATCTCTGGGAGTGCTGGTCAGAAGACTCTGTCCCATCATCCCTAGAGCACATGGGAGACTTGAGATTCCAGTAGATCCCAAAGCCACCATCCTGATGAGGGACTGCTGAGTCACAGGAGTGGACAGGAGGGCCTTTGAGTAATCACTGTAATCCCTCTCAACTAGAGCGGACTGAGAAATTGCCCATGGGCTCCATTAAAAATGTGGTCAGTGAACCTATCGAAGGACACGAAGACTACCACATGATGGTAAGTAACCCGGCGTGGGTTAGCCTCTCACTGCACTTCTGCTCATCTAGCAGGGAATGGAGCTCTAACTGAGCTTTTTTAACTGAAGAATCAAACTCAGTGTTCAGAAGACGCGCAGTTTAAGACCCTCACGTTTTCTTGATCTACCTAGAACTTAATCTATGACCTATTCCTCAGTTTATTTTGCATCCTCTCCCCACCAGTTTAAAGGGGACATGTTCAATACCTTTATCTTCCTCTTGTTTGTAATATTTTGTCTTTAGACCAGGAAAATAAATACAGAGAGGAGGATTGGCTCGCGGGTTTTCATTTTAACTTTTGTCCTACGTATAAGACAAAATCTCCCACTAACGTGGGCGTTGGTGAAGACGCCGGGCAGTCCCCTTCTGTGATGGTGTTGCTCTTCTCAGGCGGCAGCCATCAGGTGGCTGAGGACTCTGTGGATAAGATGGGGTCTGTGGTCATCATTCTGCATGGAAGTTTCCTCTAAAGAGAGCAGGCTCTTCTTTCGCGGGATGACGTTTGGAGGCATTCCCCAAGTTTATGCAGAACAAAGCCAAGAATTCAGTGATACAGTGAACGGAGCAGCTCAGGCAAACCCCTGAATTCTCCCAGCACTGTTAAGAGGGGCCACTTTAGAAGTGAAGTTTGGTTACCAGAACTTTTAAGTTACTATGCCAGGGGCCTGACCTGAACCATTACTAGGTGACGCAGATGTTTTAGCTTTAGCCGACAGCACTGTAGCTGTGTCAGCCCTGTCACGGAGATGAGGAACGGCTGTGGCTTGACCTGCGCAATGGTGTTTACAGAAGTCCCCTGCAGAGGGAGGTGTTGGAAGATCCCAGGAAAAAGGGGTTCTGGTGTTAGAGAAGTTGTCTCTGGGCAGATGGCAAGTCTCCTGGCTCTGGGGGGATGTCAGCCCCGTCCCCTCTCTTGGCCTGTTGGGGTCTGTCCGCTCCGAGGCACTGAAGCCAGGCCATGGTTGGGGTTGCAGTCCCTGGGCCACAGGGATTCTGGGTGACCTGGGAGTGACACTGTCACTGTCAGGCCCTCCAGCCTTAAAGGATTGCAGACGTATTTGTTCTGCTCACTCAGCTGTTTTTTCCATTTACGAAGTCGGATTCTGGGTATTTTCAGCTGGGCCCCCATTTTGCCCGGTAGCATTTGCAGCCCCGGTTTTCAAGCAGCCTGGTGAGAGGGATTTCGGACAAGTCGAGCGGACCTTTCAGAAGTTGGTTTGGATGGTCAGTGCCTTCTTACTCGGTTTAAGTGCTTGTTTCTCTCTCAGGTCCTCTCCAGCAGAGAGTAGCGCTCCTAGCCCCTTCTTGTCACTAAACACCATTAAGTGGCATCCTTACCTGTAAGCGAAAGGACTTCCCTTGTTTGTTAGATGCCATATCAGTCACTAGATTAACAGTATCATAGCTCACATCAGAGAAGGATGGCTGTGCTTTTTGTTCTCAGAGAAATGTCTTAAAAGGCAGAAAAGAACAGAGTAACAAACCTGTATATCCGTCACAAAGAAATGATCATTGCAAATATTTTATGAATTGCTTTAAACCTTTTTTTTTTTTAAATAAAAGAAAACCTACCAACAGTGAACACGTCCCCAGTGTCTCCCCCTCCCCCATGACCATGAGCATGATTTATCATGGGGATCCTTCCCAGCTCTCTACACTTTTACGTTACTATAAATCCATGGACGAGATACAGTACTGTTTTGTGTTTTTTCAGTTTTCATAAACGGTCTCATGGTATGTATCGTTCTGCAGCTTGCTGTTTTTGGTTTGACATCGTGATCTGTCTGTATTAACTATAGATCCAGTTCGTACCTTTTGAAAAGTAATCCCGCGTTCATATGAGCAGGCCACCATGTCACTTTTAATTTTGCGTTCCCTTGCCGACGGACATGTAGGTTTTTCCCGGGTTGTCCCCAGTTCTGACAGCGCTGCTTTGAACGTTCAGACCTGTCTCCTTGTGCATGTGTGACAGTTTCTCTAGGGCAGTGGTTGTCAGACTGGTCTCTGGATCAGTAGTATGACATCACCTGGGAACTTGTTAGAAATGCAGATTCTCAGGCCCCAGACCTCCCTGAATCAGAAACTCGAGGGGGTGGAGCCCACCAGTCTGTTCTAACAAGCCTTCCAGATGGTTCTGATGCACACTCAAGTTTGGGAGCCACTGCTTTAGGATTGGCTATGCTTAACTTGCCCACCACCTTTTGGTTTTTTGTTTTGTTTTTGGACAGGAGAATGCTCCCCGTGTGCACAGTTTTCCCCTTCCTGTAAAGAATTCACTTCTCAGCCCTCCCCCGTGTGTGTCGTGCTGCCTGCTTAGTCTCCCGACCTCTGAAGTACCGCTTGGTTTTCCTTTTTCCCTTCCAGGCGTTTCAGTTGGGCCCCACGGAAGCCTCTTACTACTGGGTGTACTGGGTCCCAACTCAATATGTGGATGCAATCAAAGACACTGTGCTGGGGAAGTGGCAGTATTTTTGAAAGCACTTTCACCTCTGGCCCAGGAGACTGACCCAAAGTGAAGGACATTGCTGGGAGAGGCCTGCAGCATCCCTGGATTTCAGAGTTCTGGGACTTTGTTCAAAAACAAAAAGCTATATCCAATCTAAGGTGATGTGGTGACTGAAGCCAGAGGTGATGTACTTTCACCATTAGCTTAATTTTAACTTAAAATCACCAGTTCCCTTTTCTTGCAGTCAGCTTCATATCATTTTTAAAGTTGATACGGTGGAAATCAATAAATCTGAATTCCAAACATGTTGTGTGGAATACTCTTAAGTGCGTTTGAGAGTAGATCTACCAATTTTGTTTAGAAAAGAATGATCAAAAGCTTGCTGGTTTCCTTTTTTTTTTTTTTTAAGTGACTTCAACTGAAATATTTTCATAAATCTTTGGTTGCAAACATTTGGACTGCGTTGTGATGAGTTGGGTTTTTTCTTTTTCATATAAAATTGTATGCAAAACGAGGGGGGGGTTAGTAAGCCATATTTTTCTGTCTATCGATTCAGATTGAATTCTTTTCCCTTTTTTATGTTCTCACTTCTTAGATTTGAGTTTTTGTTTTAAAAACCCAAAGATGTCAGTTCCTGTTTTTGTACCTCATCAATGCTTCCTCTCCTGGCCTCCCTCCCACCGTGCTGCTGCTTGAGAATGTGCGGCGGGAGAGGAAGAGCTGTTTGGTCTAGGGAAGGGAGCTCTTGCACTGGGCCCTGATCTCTGGGGAGTTCCACTGCTGGTGCCATGGTTGTCTGGCGGCCTCACCAATTGGGCCTCAAGGCCCAGCCCGGCGTGAGTGCCCTGGGGATGCACTGCTCAAAAGCCACAGCTCCCAGGCCAACTAAGGCCTCTCTGAGGAGGAGCTGGGTGGGAGACAGTTTCTCCAGCCATACAGCCACAGGCCCAGATCCTTCTTTCTTTTGGAGTTCTGAGAAATTCTTAAGCAGTCCAACAATTATTTCAGTTATGCTTCTCCATTTGGTCCTTCTGCTCATGCGTTATGTTCAAGTGTCCTTCATCCCAGGTCCAGAGATGCTGCCTTTCTCAAAAGACTTGTTGACCTAGTGGGTTGGCCGATGTATTTAAACATCGAAAACGGGATAAGTTACTTTCATGAATTAGCTCACCTTCTTCTGGTTTTAGCCCTTATGTTCTTGGTACATGTGAGCTTCTGTTGTCTCCTTATGGCTTGATGGACTCTGACACGAGGGCGAGTCTCTTGGTGAATGATCCCCTCTGTGCTCTTTGCTGTTCCTCTGCTGGCTGTCTTTGCCACTCTCCTCTCCCTGGCTGCAGGCTCTCATAGTAAGGTTTGGCGAGAGATTTTCCAAACTTCACATTTTGGATTCTAGGCTGTTCCCCCTCATTCTGTGAAATGTAATTAGCATGTGTTCGCCTAAGATGACTATTCCTTGTGAGCCAGTTAATGATGATACTCTACGCCCTTCCCTTCCAAGCTGTAGTTCAGGCATCCAGCCCATGTAGACAGACTCGTGCTTCTCACGGTATAGCCTGTGCCCGGTTATGCATCCAAGCAGGGAAATCTACTCTTGCTTTTTTGGGGGGCATACGTACATTAAGTGAAGTGTCACATCCAAGAAACCACGTGTTTGTCATCTCTTGAAGAAGGAGCAGTCGCTGCAGTGTTTCTGTCCTTGTTGGCCTGCGGAGCCTGGAGAAAAGGGCTCCTTTGCTACTTGTCAGAGCCTCCCTCTGCGGTGGACGGGTCTGCAGAGGAAATGATCATGTAGCAAGTGGAAGGTCCTCTCGGTGTGAATACTGCCCTCTTCGTTGGCCAGCGTCCCTGTCCTGGAGACGTGTCCTGACGGGGCCACACGCCCACTTTTGTTCCCACAGAGCCGGTGTCTCCGTCCCCAGACTGGCCTCACAGTGCTGCTCTCCGAGGCCCTTCCCGCCAGGTCTCCCGTGTGCCCTGTTCAGTGGCTGCACATGCCGTCTGCCCTCCTTCCTTCCCAGTGAAAGCGTGTGTCGCTTTGTCTCCCTGCTCCCCAAGGGCCAAACCGCTTCTCACTCAGGCTGCTGTCATTTCTAGGCAGGACCAAAGCCTGCGTGAGCCTTTTTGTTTTAAGTAAAATGGTGCTTTTTTCCTTACTTCGAGATACTATATATAAATAATAATGTCAACGACATCTTTTCATACAGAGCCGTTGGAGTATTGCTTTATGGAGCTCAGTAAATTTGCTAGAATGATCTTGAGCTCTGGCTCCTGACCCTGTCTGCATGGAGACCTTGCTGGGAGCACTCGGGAGAGCAGAGGTGGACAGCTCCAGAAGCCGCTGGGAGAAGTATTTGATTTAGATCCGTGTCTGAGTCACAGCAGTATTCACGGGTTTGTCACTCAGTCCCGTGAGCGGTCTCTTCCTAACCTTGTTTACGGTCCAGAGTATACTGACTAAATCTGTGTTAGCAAAATGAAGTACTCGTCCCCCTAGGTGGCATCACAGTGTTAATTTTTCCTCAGGATTATTTCTGTGCAGCTGCTTCCCTGTTGGAGGGGAGCGGCTCCTTCCCTGGGGTCATGCCCTGCCTCCCTGTGGCAGAGGACTTGCAGGCGGGTGGCCTCAGGAGGACAGACGTCAGGCCTCTCTTCCCTCCCTGAGCCCACTTAGCCAAGTAGTGACAAGGTCACTCCTGCCAGGGCTCCGGCCCTCGCAGCTCTGCTTCTGTCAGTCTGGTCAGAGAACTTAGAAAAGCAGATTTGCGAGTTGCTGGAAGTCTCTGGTGTGAAGTATTTTAATTGAAGCTGGGCCTTTTGCAAGTGGCGTTAGCTCTTTGCAGATGGGATTGAACTAAGATGCCCTCGCGGACACGGTGGGGGCCACTGAGGCCTCAGTAGGTTCCTTAGCGGCTGCTCTACCTGACAAGGGCCAAAGAGACCAACTCTGCCACTTTGCCACATCTCAGAAAAGTTGCCATATTTCATCCGGAAGGGACTCGCTTTCCTCCTCTTCTTCCTTTAACCATGTGCCTGGAGGAGCCGTCCTGGGCTCTCGCACTTGGCCCACCCTTGCTTTGCTGGGGCTGAGAAGGGGAAGGGATGGACTCCACGTGCCAGGGCCGTGTGAGGGCAGGCCTGCTTTCCACCCCATCCTCTGAAGGAGACCTCTCTCTTGCTCCTTGCTGCTGTGTTCATGCCTGTTGTCTTGGAAAAAGGACGGTCCCTTTGTCTTAAGGCTCTGCGAGGAAGTCCTCTCCAGTTAGGAGAGGACCGTTTCCTTCCTAGTAGGGGCGGATGGCTTCTCTGAAGTTACAGGTGGTCGGGAGCCCTCCAGAGTGCAGAAATCTGGCACATCTCCCTGCCAGGCTGGGTGGTTCTACTGCTTTCTAAATTTCTAAAAACCTCTTTCCTTTTCTTTCTTAAAGAGTTCTGCAGAATTATTTGACAATATACGTAAGTACCATGTTTCCTTGTGGTGTGCGCTCTGTTCTGGTTTCTGTTTTTAAATCAAATGCCTGTTTGGGAGGAGATGAACGTATTTAGTCTATTAGATATGCGCTGCTGGATTTTTTTTAAAGTGTAACCTTGACTAGCTGTCTTATTGTTTATCCTGTAAGATTAGTCTATCAATTAAAGTTTGATAATTAATTGCGTCTCCTTTTCCTTCCAATTTTTCATGCGCCTAATTCATACTGGGGATTGACCAACATTTGGGACTGGGCCCGGGGCCATTTTTTTTTTGCCAGCTCTGGTCTGTCATAGTACTCTTATTTATTTGGCTTTAAGTATATCCAAATTTGTTCCTGTGAAAAACAGTTGATACAGAGATTTTGGTCTATTTACCATGTTAGCCAAAATGACCTACTTATCAGACACGCTTGGGGTAGGACAGCCCGCCTTCCATGCTCTGGCCTCTAGGTGTCAGAGGGAGGCTGTCTCCCTGTCCGTATGCCTTCTGACTTGTGCCTCCTGTGACTTCACCTGGCCATTCAGCCTTTGAGGGCATGTTTAATAAAACACTGAGATGGAGCTACACAGGGGAGTTGGGGTGGGAGAGAAGACCTATTTCCAAAAACAGGACAAAAACAGTCCTCGGCATGAATGAAGAGTCATGATAGTTTGTCAGAACTGGTTTTGATCCAGTACCACCCATGGGACCCTCTCTCCTTTTCTGCGCACTTTGTAAATGTTCCGGAAGGTTCTGGTCTCTCCCCCCTTGCCCCAACTTTTTCCCCCTTATTTTCCCAGTATCTCAATCCTGAAGCAGTGCTGCCAGATTCTTAAGGATCTGTTGTATGGGAAAGAGGGGTGGGCTGGGACTGGGCCACGTGCTGTACATTGGCTGATTCGCATCTGGAGATCTGGATTTTATCCCAGTTTTGAAGTTATTCCAGGCACCTTCAAACTAATAGGACGAGCAACTGTCCTCAGATGGAGAATGAGATAAACTCCATCCTGAATATCCTCCTGTACCTTCTGGGGTGATGTCTGGCATTTTCTCAACAGTAGTAACCGACAGAACCCTTTCTACAGTCAGGGTCCCATGAACCAGTCATTAGGGCAAGAGGCAAGGACTTCTTCCTACTCTTGCTCAAGAGGCACTCTGCTTAGCCCAGCCATCCTGTAGGAATTTGAGATCCGTCCCGCCCATGAGCTCTCTCCTAACACCACTTGGCTACTTTGAGCCAGATTAACCCCTCCAGCTTTCCCTCGTTTGTCAAGGCTGGTTTTGATCTGAAGCTTTCAATAGCCTATCTTACTCCCCAGATAGAACCTTTCCTACTGTTCACCCCATTTTATGTAACTCCTAATTCTCGAGTTTCTTGCTTCTGTTTTATTCCTCTCCCCTTTATCTAACATTAATCCCTTGCTGTTTTCCCCTTTTTTGTTTTGGAAAATTTCAAACCTACAGAAAGCTGCAATCTGCTACAGTGACCACCTCATACTTTCACCAAGGTTCACCAGTTGTTAAAATATCAACAACATGTGTTTGCTTTTTTCTCCAGACACACATGTACTTTATTTTGCTGGAACATTGGACAGACATACAGAAATAGTGACACTGAGCACTCACCTCCTAAGAATGACACTGCTGTACCTTAGCACAACACCATTGTCTCATCCAAGAAAATTCATATCAATTCAACAATATC